ACTAATTGACAAAAGATGGCGGATAATTAAATTTATCTTTATAGTGTAAAAAGTTATTTTGTATTTTTGTAAAAAATGCTTTTCAATCATCACACAGAAATTGATATTTTTGTAGTACTATCATAACAAGCGTATCATAATAAATTGTAAAATCGTCCTAACAGTAATTATTAAAATTAGTTAATTAACATTAATAACTAATAATCTAGTCCCCGCCCGCCCACGTGCTAACCTCCAAGCGCTTTTCATATCTTTAAATAGCTTTCCTTGAGTATTCATATAAGCATTGTTGAGCTTTGGGACACTATTCTCTGTCTTCGCTTTCTTACTAGACTGACCAGGACCTGCTGTAGGCGCCAATGCGGGGAATCCAACAGGAGCAGGAACATCATCGCCATCAGAGACCCGTTTTGCCATCGTTTACTTTTGGATATCACCGTATACTGACTTAAATTGGTGAACGATTGGTTTTGATAAATGATAATTTTTATTAATATTTCGATTATTTCTAGTTGCTGTTATTTTTATTGAAGGTAGCACAGGATAATTCTATGCTATGGTAAGGAATAATTTTTAATTAATTTAGTACTTTGGGTGTGGTGTTTGAACGTAAATTATAGAAGCCATATTTGTATATAGAGCTGTTGCACAGATGTAATCAACAAGGGGGTGCAGCTATGACCGTCCGCCATCTTGAGTGGCAAGAATGTACATGGTGGAATGGGTAGAGTGGAGAAAATAAATCTGAATAAATTTTGCAGTTGATGTTACAGGCTGATGCAAGCTAGGAGATGAAGGTATTGAGCAAAGAACTCTCTGTAATATTATTCTTCAGCAAAGTATGATATCTCATCGTTGGAAAATCTAAGTTTGTTTTTACATCTCCATTTGTCCTGTGTACATTCTTGCCACCCAACATGGCGGACAGTCATAGTTGCACCCTCCCTGTTGATAACATCTGTGGAACAGCTCTATGCAACCATTTATAAAAAGGTCACTGTAGGTTAATCTTTCTATCTTCCTCCTCTTTTACTGTTAGCTGGTTGAGTTGAAGAATGGTAAGGCGTATTATGGTCATTTGGTTAGTTGTGATAACTGGATGAACACTGATACAAAATGACTGAAGGAAGTCATATATACATTAAGAGTAAGACTCTCGGTAAGACTATATGTCCACTTATTATATGACATGTACATGTATTATGCATATAGTATGTCACTTAATTTTTATGTACATCAAAGTGTGTATTACAGAGTAGCAATTAATGATGTTTTAATGTTTATTGTGTCATACTGTAGGATGGTAATAGGTTTTGGAAGA